TTCTGTCCTGGTCTATCTATCTACTCTTTACCCTCTTGTCCAACTCCCACCACATCACAAACTTCCACTTGTTTACATTCCACTCGTCAAAATGTGTGCCCTTTTGTGGCAAACTGAGTGTGGCCTCATCAGTAAGTTATTAGCAAGTGTGATGAGGCCACTCTCGGTTAGCCACAAAAGGACACACATTTTGATGATTGGAATGTAAAAAAGTGACAAGTTGTGATATGGCGGCAGTGCGAAAAGTGGGTAAAGAGTAGATAGATAGACAATGACAGAAAGAGGAGTGATAGTGTAACCGTTTCCAGCTGAACCGTTGTCAAGGGATTGACTTCACTTGTCTCTTTGACGAGTTCGTAGCTTGGCGCGGAGAATGGCAAAGTTCACTGATGATGCCGGCGAAAGGTTTGAGAATGTATCAAGTCCACTGTCAGATGCTGGGAATCATGACAACTACTATGACAGACGACTTCGGACTAGGCGCGTTATACTAAATCGCCCTGACAACAAGACCAAGTTGCGGCAACGAGGTCAACCAACTTCGAAAAATAATAGACCTATTTATGCTATCTTAGCCAGTCTTCGCATAAAACGTGCAGAATCCAAGCACATTATAAAATTAGTGTTCACAAGGTATGCATAAATTAGTTGAATCCATGGCAAAATTTTAACTATGCTACGTTAATTTGGCCAAATAATTCTGTCGGTTAACGATATTATAATAATGTTATCTTGGTAGATTCATCGAAATCCAGTTGATCTTCATAACTATACGAAACTTTACACGCTTTAGACGCTCATTTAGTTTATGTGGTTAGGTTCTCATTTCATAATTTAACCCAGAAGGTAGGCAAAGCTTGAAATGGAGGGATTCGATACAATTCGTAGACGATTCGGTCATTTCGTTGTAAACTAGTAAGAAAGGGAATTCATCCGTCTCTAGCCTGACCCCGACAAGTTTATGCAAGCACTTTGGTTGCTTTCTTAAGGAAAATATTCTAACATTACTCACTGCCAGATGCCTCAAAATGGCAAAAGTTCTAGCCTAACTGGGTGGAATAAGGTGAAGAAGGAGTGGTATTTGAAGATTCCCACAATTGTCTCACGATACTATTCCATTTCGAATGGGTTAAGTGTAATTATTAGTCACTTTAAGTGACCTATGAGGACTAGAATTCTTGATCGAGATTAAAGAATTTTTCAAAAGCTTGGTTGTCAACTAGTCGCCAGCAATTTGCCATGACTACTCATGAGGAGGATGGCACCAACAGACCTTTTTGCAACGACTTATCCTTCCCCCTTCATCTGAACTTCTGCCCTGCCCCCGAAGCACAGAATGCACATTTTAGAACGTCGTCAAAAGATGCTTATAGAAAATTTTGGCCAGAACCCTTGCATTAAAATGATAATTCCTCAATTAAGCTTGGTTGTGGTAGTTCAGTAGCATTGAAAAATAGTCGACTTGACTTATTTGGAGAATTTATTCTTACTGACCATCCTATGGAATACATTTTCAACAATAAAGTATCTTCAAGAATGTTCTGTTACGCTTACATGATACGATTTAGGCGCTCTCTTATGTGTTTATTTCAATAGCCTATTTCCCTCACCTTCGCCTTCAAGTCATATACTCTCATTCAAAATTAGGCTTTCATACTCACCGACCTAGTAACCAGTTTTAAGTGTGTTTCACAGTTATACACTCAGAAAAATTCATTTCCTCGGCGGATTCCGCCTCTTGTCATGTCTTGCTCACCTTGGCAAATTGCTGTGCCATCTTCTTGGAGGCTGCTCGTTCGCTGGATGACATTTTGCCCTCCTTTGTCACTCCCGATTCCACCCTCTCCTCTTCTTTATCCCTTTCTTTGCCCTCTTCTTTCTGCTCTTCTTCAACTTCCTCCTGTTCCTCCCGAGGCAGAAGAAGGTGTGCAATGTCTGCTTTGTTGCCCAAAACCATGAGGACCGGCCTACTCGATTGATGCCTGCTAGTATCCACGTCAAATCTACTCGACAAATTCGCATGACCTCTCATCGAGGCTGTTTCCCTCCCGTGCCAGTCTTTTGCCGAACAGTTCTTAGACTTTCCATTCACATTGTCGCCAAGTGATTTGGCAGCAGCCAGCGCCGAGGCTGCTCCGACGGCGGAGGCCGCTTTTTGCACGAGAATCTCCAGTCGTTGATACCACGATCGAAGATTGACGTATCCATCCTCTTGCCCGACGTCGTAGACTAGCACCAGACCATCGGCCCGCTTGAAATAGCCATGCATGAGAGGAAGAAATCTTGACGATGGAGGATAGGACATGAGAACAAGAAGGGTCAAGTATTTTGTAAATAAAGTGGTAAAAGTAGATATGAAGATGAAAATTGTGTATCCTTTCGGTGCCTACAAGTAATCTGACACGTAATTTGCTCGGGTTGTAAGAGCAACCTGGTTAAACGTACCTTGTCCGAGTCCTCTGCTGTTTTAGTTGAGATAACTCTCATCGTTGTCTCGCAGAGTTGATACATTCCCAGAAGTTTAGCCGGCATCATAGTCGGCATCGTCAGGCAAGGAGACAATTGTTAGAATGATTAACTTCGCATGTCTTTTTGACGAGATGTATCTCGATGCTGAGATAAGCAGGACCCAGTGACCATGCCGACCGAACGTCTGTGCATGTACCAATTCCACGATCCAATTCTGGGAATAATTCCAAGCACAAAAACAGAAGACTTCGGACAAACTGCATCCAACTAGTCTCACTGACAAACACGAGTAAATTTGGCAAACGAGGTCAGACCACTTCTAAAGTAGAAAATTGAAGTTGATGAATAGATGGCTAGAATGGATTTGACCTCAGTTGCGGCCTTGTTTGTCGTCGAATTTGTGATAATCTCCAGAGCTGAACTGTGGGTTTGGTACATCATCAAACGTT